TACAGTCTTTATTTTACAGTTAAAATATATGTTTATTAAATAAAGTCTAATGTTACAACTAATCATGGATCCCTTTAAAGCAGCATCTAGATTTTTTTAACAAGTTAACAAAAAGACTAATTGCAAAAATGTTAAAAAAAGATTGTTTTTGTATGTTTTGTAAATGATCTGTCATACAAAAATGTTCTTAGATAACAATGGCATGCTTTTGACAAGACATTAGCACAAAAATTGCATGTACAGGTCAACACGTACTGATTTGGAGTGAAGTAGGTATTGTAAGTTTAAATGTACTTACTTCAGCAATGTTCACTATTACAGCACAGTACCTTTGGGTCCAGACCAGATCTTACTGCGAGGAGCTCAGCTCAGGAACACCCAGTGGGTCCATGGTGTGGTGGTCTACACAGGACATGACACAAAACTCATGCAGGTGAAACCATAACTTTTCAAGATTTTTGTGTGACATGCTGTTACAGTCATTCTGAACTGGTGAAATGGAGGAAAATGGAGTGTTTCCAAATACTAAAACAAGAAAAAAAAACTGTTTAACTAACAGTTAAGGARTTTTTCTGAGTATTAGTTTTCAGGCTTTTCATTTTCTGTACAGTTTATTCAAAAATAATCCATAAACTAAATGTCACAGATCGGTATGAAACTATTTATATGCTTCCCTTCTTCTTCTTCTTCTTCTTCTTCTTCTTCTCAACCGCTGTCTTGTGTTACCCAGAATTCCACACGGCCTCCTCTGAAGCTGTCCAACGTGGAGCGCATCACAAACTTTCAGATCCTCGTGCTGTTTGGCTGCCTACTGGGCATTTCTCTGGTCTGCTCGATCGGCCAAACCATCTGGAAGTACGAGTACGGCAATGAMGCCTGGTACATGGACCTCAACTGTAAGAGTCCCAGCAGCCCTTGCTGCACATCTTACTCCACATATTTTATCTCGCTTGTTCATATCGGCTTATTCCTTTGGTCATTTTAAGTTTTTAAACGCTAGTACGTGTTGTGTTGTTCTTACGTTGCCTCAGTTCATTTGCTTTTTTGTATAACAAGTGAAATACAGTATGTGGCAATGTGGGAATGAGTGGATTCCCTGTTAACGGAGAAAACACAGTAGTGACATGGCTAAATGTGCTGTGAATGAATCTCATTGAAAGAAAAATGGTTGAATATCACTGCTCTGCTTTACTTTTTTGTTCCTTTCTAATGTTCTGTTTGATTTTTGTTTTCTTTGTTGTCATTTTTTTTAACAGCTCCAGGTAACAACCATTTAAAAGCCTTGGCCATCCGTGAATGACCCTCCCTTACTAACCCCTTACTGAAGCTCTGCCTTTGCTAAGCAAATGAAGCCCCCTACCCTCACCCCGTATATGGCTGCCCTACTTTGTACGGGCCTATGCCATCGACGAGCTCATACCAGGGATCCAACCATAGGTTTTTCCCCTCCAGCTTTCTTATATCTTTGTCTGATTATTTTCAGTGCCTGATAAACACCTTTTCTTCATCTTTCTTTTCTGCCACGTTAAACACTTCGCAATTTACCAGCATTAGATCGTCTTTTTCTCTTAAAATCTCTTTTTTTTCCATCAGAAATGAAAAGCAGTGTTTCATTTGGCTGCAAGCGAAACAAAATGGTGCACAAGTTGCATCATGTTTGTGGAGCAAGAGCTGACATTTTCTAAATGCCTCTTCCTCTCATTTTTTTCTTTTGTGGATTTTTTTTAACATACAGACAGAAAAAGAGCAAGTTTTTTGAAAACCTGCCAAAAGTTACTTGCATTGCCAAATTATCCTTCTTAATTTAAATTACCATTACAACAGTGGTGACAGTTATTCTGTTGAGATGAAGCTCTCAGCTTGGTACGCAAAGTGTTTAACGTGACACTGTTGCCATTACTCTGTACCCTAATAGGCCTTTTTTAGAACAGGTTGTGCCCTGGTCAATGTACGCTTGCATTAAAACTTACATCTCTCCCTCCCACCACTTCCAAGCTGTTATTTTGATATATTGGACTTTTAGGGCTTTAAGCTTTGTCTGCAGTAAYGTTACAAGCTTATTCCAAAACATTCGGTACGACCAAGGGAAGTGGAAGTTATAAAGCAAGCATTCACCTTCAAATAATTTCTTTCTGTAAGGAGTTGTTGAGGCTCTGTCCAAAGCATATTGTCTACCTGTGACCAAAGAGAGGCGAAGGAGAATGTCATTTTTTTTCTGACTCCTCTTTGTGTTCTTCTAAATTATTGTAACTTCAATTAATCAGCAACATGTGTGTTATAAAACTAAAAATGTATTCCGAATTTTAAGGTTTATTATTATTTTACACTTTAGGTCAAAACAAAATACCTTATTCATGTGAACAAGAGAAATATTGCTTATTTTTTTTATATCAAATTTAATAAAAACTACAACTGAACTATGCAGGTTTACTTTCTTTTTAATTCTTATTATCTAGTCTAGTCTTAAAGGTCTTCAAAGGTAACCCTGATGGATTTTAGTTATTGGCCTCTTTGTGTTATTGGTCACATAATTGCAATCAGATTGACAGCAACACTGCTAAAGATAAACTTTTATGTTGTGAGAAAAAAATAATCTCATGTTAGCTTCAGTCAAAACTTCAAAGAGCCGCTGCAGAGAGACCAAAGAGCCACAGGTTGCAGACCCCTGATTTGCACCATTAAATAAATGTTTGAATGGTCATAGCCTTTTTTACATTTTTAAAATAAATCTGCACAAGTATAATCTAAAAATGGTGCTACCGGTCCAGTTTGCCAGGGATCATCAATTGCACCAGAATCTCTTGTTTCATTATCATAATTACCATGAAGCACCACAACCTTTCTGGCACCACTKCCTTAAAGGTCTTACAGACAGTTTTAGGCTCAGAACCAACTTTTTCCTGCAGACTATCTCAGCACAATGCTTCTGTTTTTGATGAAAGTACAGTAAAAAAATGTTCAACTTAGGATTTCAGGCAGCAGTAGTCTTCTCCCCCAATGTACAGTCGACCTGCTAAACTCTTAAGAACGTAACTCAGTCTTAATTTAATTTGATGATTCGTTCTCTAAACACACCTGGAGTGTTTGATTTTCTTAACATGGCATTTTTTGTGACAAAAGAAAATCAGTAAATCTGCAGTCGTGACCTGCAGCAAAGCATGTCCTGGTTTGCTAGTTTGTATTAACTGGTCTAATTCGGTATTTCTGTGTCATAATGAGCCTGCTCCTCATTAATAAAACCCAGCGAGTCTTTTGGTGACATACTCCGTCCACTCTCGTCCACTTTTTGCTGGTTGAGAATGTGCTATGGACTGAATCTCCCTCCTTTGTCTTGAGAGCATCTGAAATGTTTGTCCCCCCCCCCCCCCTCCTCCCACTCACTTCTAAAAAAGAAGTTCTCCCTCTTCCGTGTGTTGTCGTAGCAGTAGCTTTTCATTCTGCCACTTCCGTTGTGCCATCTTTGGTTTTCAAACCGTGTCATGTGGAAGGGCTGACCCTCTCAATCGCAAAGCTAAGCTCAAGGCTTGGGTTGAGGAAGGTAACATTTGCACCTCCTGCGAGCTGAGGAAAGGTAAATCACATCCCTCCTGTTTTCACGTTTGGTGTCAGTGGGGTTACATGTTTCTCATTAGCAGCTGTTTGGGGGCTTTTTGCGGGACCAGCATTCTTTTGCATAGTGCTTTTTTAGAGTTCATTGCCTGGATCATGCTGGATGCCAAGGCTGCTGCTGTGACACTAATGAGATACTTCAGTCCCCGTTCACTACCTTTGAATCTTTGGGACTTTAAATTGGATTGCTAATCGGTTGAGGATGAGTTTGGGTAGAAGAAAAGGTTAACTCCAGCTAATGCACAACATTGGCCCAAAACATTTTTTCTAGCCTGGGATAATGTTGATCCTTAGCCGGAAGGAGCCTTGGGCATTTTTATTTAACCGACTGCTCTTTACAAATCAGCACTGATGGGTCTCTTGTGTATCATTCCCCTTTGTCCAAAACGTGTCCCCTGACAGATGGCGGGGCTGCTAACTTTGGCCTCAACTTTCTCACGTTCATTATCCTTTTCAACAACCTGATACCCATCAGTCTCCTGGTCACACTGGAGGTGATCAAATTCATCCAAGCCTTTTTCATCAACTGGGTGAGTTACAGCTACGTTGACCATGCTTTTGCTATATAACCTTTAAAATGTAACTTTTTTTGACCTCAGTGTTTACGTTTATTCACAAAACTACACAACTTACATGCTTACGTTATATTTTGTATTATTGCAGGCTGTGACCATAAAAAATTCAGTAAATTTGGGAGGAGTGGTGGTACAGAAGTTAGAGAAGGAAAGCCTGTGATCGGGAGGTCACAGGTTTGAAAATATGGGTGGGAAAAGCGAAGCACTCATGTCTGCCTCCACTCCAATATCTCAACCCACTGTGGGGCCTTCAGCTAAACGCCTGTTTACTGATGCTTTATTAACAAACATACAAAAAAACTAGATAATTTAGCTAGCAATTATTATTTACTTACCTACCTTCATATTTCAACCTTATATAAGCTGATAAAATCTGACTGATTAAGCAACACTTAAGTGTAATTCCTTCGTTTGAATAGTCTGCTCTCAATACGATGAAAGGAGAATCTATAGGTTATGTAAAGATAGTAGCAAAGTTAAATATATCTGAAACCTACATAACCATAAACTTATGATTAAAGAACAAGATTAAAGTCCTCTTATATAATCGGAGGAACTAGGCCACCCGCACCAAAGATCTTGACTGAAGAATCCCATCTTTTTTTAACTAACCCACAGTTATTTTGAGTTCAGTTTATTCATAAAATTTTTAATTAGCTCCTCACAAGTCATTTTTAGCTGCATTCAGGATAGCTGCTTTCTTTTTTTTCTCCTCAGTCCCAGTTTGTTCTGTCTAGGGAGAAGTGAATTATTGATTGTTTTTTAGGGATTTAGTTTTTGCTTTAATTGCTTTGGGTGGTTTTTTCTAGGATACTGACATGCTGTATGAGCCCACAAACACACCTGCAATGGCCCGCACGTCCAATTTAAATGAAGAACTAGGCCAGGTAATCGTATAATTTAAACTTGGTAATTGTATAATTCTTTATTTGGAAAGGTTTTGTTTAGACTTTTAACTGTGCTTTTTGTTTAAACTCACATAGGTGAAGTACATTTTTTCAGACAAGACAGGAACGCTGACCTGTAACGTGATGCAGTTCAAGAAGTGCACCATCGCTGGTGTGGCCTATGGGTATGTCCTGCTTTCTTCCCCCTTTTCACTTTCCCTGACTTTCTCCTCTCATCCTCCACCGTTGCCTCCCTCCTCACCTTCATTAAATGCAGAGTATGCATCAAAGTGCATCTGGCGTTTCTCTCTTCTTCCTCACCTTCTCATTAGCAGCTGCATCAGTGCTCCTGTGAATGTAAACTATAAATAAAACATGAACAGACACTTGCAAGCAAAGATCCTTTCAACATCTTCCTTGCAGGCATTTGTGTTTTTAAAAAAATAATACATTTTAATTCTTTTTTCCCTCCCAATTTTTCCTGGACGTTTTGTTCATATATTACATACAGTATCTTTTTCTAAACACCTGGATGAAACCGAAGCTCGCATTGATTAACTTTTCCACCAGCTCTAGTCTAGTCTAATGGGAAAAAATTATAGTTACATTTAGTGCTGTACCAAACGATTATTTTCTAATCGATTAATCTAACAATTATTTTTTTCGATTAATCGATTATTCTAACAACAAATCTATGTTATTCTGATGTGAGYGCACTGGATATTTAAAATGTTTTCATCAAATTAACAAGAACAGTTCTTTAATATTGTAATATTTTCTGTAATAGTTTTTTCATGGACACAAAATATGCACTCTAGAGTCAATTCTTTAACAAAAAAAGCTTTAAAGATTTAACATCAACATAAAATCTCAACCAAAGCATATAAAATTCAACTAAAAGAAAAATAGTACAAGATGTTAACAATCTAACAAATGAACTAAATCATGCAAAATTCAAGTCACTCTGGAAAAACTATAATAAACATATAATAAACATTTATTTATTATTTTTTATTTAACATATTTCTCAATATATAAAATTTAAAAAATATCAAGACAACATCCAACTCTTTGTATTGTAACATCAGTTGTGTAACTTATTTCTTTAAGGTGAAAACTGTTGAAAACAACAAGACTGTTTTGTCTTATTRCACAAATTAAAATCCAGCTCCACATATTTATATTGATGTCATTTCCCCACTAGAAAAATTATGTGATGAAGGTCCATGGAAGGCAAATAAGTTTAAATCAAATAAACAAAAGAGGATGCAGTTAAAATAAATCAAAGGTATTTAAGCTACGTTTTGAACATCCAGAACACGTCCAACACTTGTTGGCTGCTTGTGCTCTTTAGGTCAGACGTGTGTCGGGAAGCTCCTCTGTTGTTTGAGACGCTGGGGGAACTGGGAACACGGCTCGACCTAACACCGGTCTCTGTTTAATGGTGGATGAAATAAAGAAAGTGGCGGTACTTTATTTACTTTGAGCAAGTGAACGTCATGTTCACAAGATAATTAATCCACCAGATAATTCAGAGGCGGTCTGTTCGGTAAATTTTACTCCAGGAGCTGYGAGGCTTGTTTTCAAGCTTCAGACTGAACTGAAGCAGCGGCTGCTGACGCCATTACGCTCTTGCGCGATGCTGCGTTCAGGACAAGCATGGAAAACTCACCACTCTTGTGCCAATATGGTCGCAATGATGCATTTAGGTACCGAAATGGAATTGCATGAACATTCAYGTGGTGGTTATGTAATACAGCGWATCGATAATAAAAATCTGCGTCGACAAATTTACATAATCGACGTCATCRATTRTTTCAACTAATCGGTGCYGCCCTAGTTRCATTTCAACWTTTTATGAAGACAGACCTCGGTGTTTTCCACAAAAATGTTAATTTTATGCCTTGATAATTAGCCTCAACAAATGCAAAACAAGTGGGCAAGCGGAGTGTGTCTTCAGAGAAGCAGAAAGCAAGTGCAGGCGTGACACTGYATGATTCATCCCATTAGAATTCAATTAAAAGTGTGATTGATGAAGTGCAGGCTGAAAGACAAAAAAATGATCTGTTAGCTTGATTTCTTGCTGCTAAAGATTTCATTTGGCTGTGGCTGTGAGAAACTAGCAACATCTCATTGCTGGTCCTCGAGTCAACAGTATCAGAGTGGCTGAAGTTTAAAAACTGTTCACAAAGGAGCTTTTAGGTTGTTGTTTAGGACTGTGGGGGCTAAATATTTTCCTCTAATGCATTTAATAAAGACTTGTAAGCATGAGGGAGGACCACAGTGTCTGCTGATGCCATGGTTTGGATTACTTCTTCTCTTTTTTGGAGCTCTACTACAAGAGACAGGAGGGTTTAAATAGTGTTCAGTCCACTGGTTAATGTTGAATATTCCTAATTTATTCATAGACCGTCTCTAGTTCCTTCATGTTCTTGGATGCTTTCATCTCTGGTCAGTAAGAAAATACTGAGTCATAATAATCTAAAGCTTTTTTTGGTTTTGTTTTTAATCTCAAATTAAAATCCTAGAAAACTGCATTTTAATTATTTGACTTTACTTCAGAAAGAAGTTCCAAAATTGTGCGTAAAACTAAAGAATACTTGACGATAACGCAGACTTTTACATGTACAATCCCGTGCTTAGTTCTCTCAGATTAGCATCACTTGTAATTCAGTGCCAGCCCCCCCCACACACACACACACACCGACGCTGCCGCTTGCATGTGCACCTCATCACAAACGCAGTGCTGCTGTAATTAATAAAGCTGTCCCCAAGGGTGCAGACATTAATTAATTCCACTGGATTGGAGTCCAAATCTGAAGGAGAACCGGTGTTACGCTGATGAAAGCCTCTCAAGACCCACCCGCTCAAACAGACTGAAGTCATATAGCATAGTTTTTAGTGGCAAAGCTCACAAAAATATTAGGTTGAAGTTATAAGAACAATATATTTTTTAAATAATTTGTTGATTCAGACGTATTTGTTGCTGCAAATGATAGAAATGTTTAACTGGAAGCAAAAGAGTCACACATCAACAGAGCTATAATGTCCTGTGGAGACTGTTACTGTTAACTAATTCTGTACTTCTAAGATACAAAAATGTGCATTTAGTTATGAAATGTTTTTTTTTCGTTAATAGAATAACAGTAAGTCAAAACTTGCACTGAAATTTCAGACCTATTGGGTGAAGACTAGATTGTTGTGTGCAGCATCTTTAGCAGCTAAAGTCTACCAGCTTCCTAAATGCTCACAACTTAAGTCAGTAAACAGTATGTTTACATGGATGCAAGTAATCAGAATAAACAACCAATCAGAACAAAATGCATCATGTAAACGCCCCAACTGGAATATTTTGAYCGGATTCAGCTCGATTGGTATGAGTTTGTGATCTGAATGAGACGGTTGGTTGGTTGYCKATTGATGATCCGAGCGGCGTGCATMCAAACRCTTATTCTGATCATGTTATTCTGGCTGTGACTGCGCATGTGCACCACATGTCAACCTGATGTATCTCCACCTGGCTACATGCTAACATATCGGGGAAGCAAAATTAGTTGGTTAGCGATAAAACATTTCTATTAGAAACTTTGAAAGAGCTCAAAATTATCGACGTTCGAAGGTTTGGGAATGCAGAGGTGTTTATACAAAGACATAAAAAGCCAYGCAAACGGAACTGGTTAGTGTTGCACAAAGCTTTTATCTGGAACCCTTTGCAGTTTTCTTTGAATATATTAAAGATAGACACAGTTAGATATTAGCTACAATTCCCAGCAGAACCATTTCAAATCATAACAAATTACATGTAATCCTATTTAACTTGATTTATTCTTAATGGGTATTTTCATAACTTTTTTTGTGTGTGTGTGTTGGTAATAACTTTAGATAAGCATATGTATGCTTTCAGGCATCTCAAATGTCCTTTTAAATGAAGTACAAGGTGTTTCTTTGTGTTCTCCCCTTYGTGCTAAGATGAATTTTAAATTTTGTGCTGGTAGTATGTAGCTCCTGGCAGTAWAAGAAACGTTATGAATGAAAATGAATAATTTAACAAGCTTGCTTTAATCCTCTAACTTCCAACGCCTTACATCTAACCTACCATACTTTAACCTCATAGAAGAACCCACTCTAACTCTAAAACTGGCGTCTGAATGTTCACTGAAGTCAACAAGATGCTTTTTTGTTTCCACCTTCGCTTCAACAGTCACATCCCTGAGGCTGAGGAGGCTAGTTTTGCAGAGGACGACTGGTAAGATGATGGGTGTACGATGATGGTCGTTTATTTTCCTGCTTCTGTGATGTATTAGTGCCGTGATAGCTTGTGGAAAACGTGACCTTGTTTATTTTTCTGTGTGCGTGCAGTACTTTGGGAACTTGCTGTTTGTGACTGTGCGTATYTGTTGATGTGAACGGACAGTTTTAATCAAATAAATCAGAGGTTATTATTGTTTGTGGCTCAGTAAATATCGGTGGGAATGAATTAAATAAAGGCAGGTTTTTCGGTGAGTAATTTTCTCGCGAGGCTGAAATTATGCACCTTGTCCTCCTGTGAACGTCTAACTTCGACACTGGCAGCTCCTCGCCCATTTATAATCTCTTTCTCACATTTGAAGCTCAAGACAGTTCTCAGAGATTTGCAGCATGGGTGTGGCTTCTGCAGATCACACTGAGGTTTGAAGTCTTTGATGTAAAATGTTGAGTTTTGCTGCTTTAAAAGATCTTGCAGGCTTTCTCGAAGATTTTTATTGATTTTTTTTTTTTTTTTTTTTTGTGGGGGCTGAATCCCAAACGGTCTCTTGAGTTATTATTTTATTGAAACTTTGGGAGCCAACATTTGCATTCTGCCTGCACTGTAGTGGATTCAACAGATGGCAATACTGCTGGCACCAAATGGTTTGTCAGTATTGAGGTAATAAAGTGAGAAGATGGGCCATTTTTTCAGTGACCTCTTTACAGTTTTAACTTCTTTTGTTGTACCTCTAAAAGAAGTCATGCAAATGTATCGGGCTACATCTGGCAAATTGTAATGTGTGCATGTTTTGTGTTTTTCTGAAAAAAAAAAGAAAAGAAAAAACCTCATGCCACGCTCCACTTTGCTTTTTTTGAGCTTTATGTTTAGCTGTTTTGATGAGCTGACCTCTTCACTTCCTCCTCCTCAGGCACAGCACACACTCATCAGACGAGGCTGGATTTAATGACCCGAGCTTACTGGAAAACCTCCAAAGTAATCACGTAAGTAATGTCAGGGATCCCCGTTGCCTGCCTGCTGCTTCTGCTTAGGAAAACTTAAGAGGGATTTTAGATCTAATTGTGTGCGGTTACGTAATGTATTCTTTCCATTTTAAACTARAGAAACTGTTTCGGCATTTATGTCGCTCCTTCAAAATGCCAAAATGTGCCTTGTTGTGACAAATGTAGAGACCAAAGAATTCAATATACTCTTCATTAAAACAGTGCTGCAAGGTGGAATACTGTTTTTGTTTACAATAAAATAAGTGAAATCAGGGTTGCTTTGCYGTTTCATGGTGAGAAACTCCTTAAASCCCAGAAGACCAAGCAAGAAACTATCATAAATTACGTACAGTCTTAGGCACATGTCTTCCCTGTATATGGATTAAGAGGAGCAGTAATGACCATCTGYAGTCACAAATTGGGGGAAGACGATGATTGATTTGCTCATGAGTCAGCTACAGCACGGAGTTGAGAATGTCAGATCTAATTACATACAATATTGGCGATGAGGGAAAATGGTAATCCCACTGTGATGTTTTCTTTGTTATGACAGCAGAATCTGTTCACACAATGAGCTGGTCTAAGATCTGCTTCGGCTTCATACTGCTAGCCCCTCACCCACCGCTAATTACCAACCACATTTCTGGAACCACACTTTTGTTTTCTTTTCTTTTACATCATTTATGACATCTTAGCTTATGATTATTCTGATGAGGCTTGATTATAAGGCTTTGCTTATGATTATGAATGCTTTACACTGACAAACCTTGACATTTTAAAATACATATTTATAAACAAAACACACTTAAAATAGCTAATGTTCTCAAAGTAACACACTAAAAAACATTAAAGTAGGGAGAATTATGTATTTTCCTGGCACTTAGTAGTTCAGTTCTATGCCACAACCAAGTAACTGCTACCATCAGTTGTTATGAAAATGCTGTTTATCAAAATTATTTTGACAAAATTGGATCGAAGCGCCATAAAATTGACCTGTCTTTTTTAAATTTTATTTATAAAGTTTATTCATTTAAAACAAAACAACATAAATTCAACATACAACAACAAAAAAATTAAATGAAAGGTAGCAGAAGAAGAAAAGAATCTTATGATTTCTGCCCTTTTCTTAAATAAATTAAATTTTAAAAAATCTTCGATTTACAACGTACAAAAAAATGAAAGAAAAAACAATAAAGGTTTAATTCCTTCTTGAGTAACAATTCATGCCTTATAC